GAACCTTCGCAGTCATTTTTAAAAGGATGTCTAAAATTCGGGAAGCGCCACTCTGAAAATGGTCACTGCACTTAAGACAACCGTTTAGGCCGCGAGTTGATCAAGTCATAGTTCTCCGGCCCACAGCCGCCTGTTAAGCGCAATAACCCCCCACCTCCCCACCTTCCATAATCAACCGGAAAACTCAGGGATGAACGACCCTAGCAGTGAGAATATTGGTTGGCCCAATAGCCGAGCCTTTATCACTCCAGTACCCAACACACTGGCAATGAAAATGCGGCCACTAAAGACGGGAAGGCAGGCAATCATCGCACCAAGTACAGTCATTTGAAATAAATGTCAGAACTGTTGATTTTGAATAGATGCGTGGCGGTGTAGTAATTCATATGTCCCTTACCCTGGATTCGAGTGAATCCGGCACTAAAGGAGGATGATAATTCTTCCGTAAGCGATTGAATCTCCATCTTCTCAACTTATAAGTCAAATACAACTGAAGGACGGAAGTTCCGAATAAACCCACCACTAGCTGAAACGATAGATGTCCCGGTACCCCATCTGACGTGACCGAAACATCATCCTGTCAGAGATATGGAATGGTATGTCTCCATCGTCGCGAACGGCGATGGCCACTGTGTGCACTACAGAGTAGGCGGAGCTTATAGTGGGATCGACTTGCACAACACCTACCACACTTCATCCCTCTCCGTTCACTTTGCTCCAATGTCAAGACGACCGGAGGTGACTCGGGCCCAGTGGCTGACCATGCTAGAGGGCCCGTCTACGCGTCCCGGTCACAGTCTTGTTCCCACTCCTTGTACGGGGCTGCTCTGACGTCGGTTCAAATCACAAATGCGTGCCAGTAACGCAAAGGCCGTGGAAAGGAGCCATCGCGGCACGATTCTAAGTTCTGAGACGGACCGAGTTATCCCATTAGTTGGTCAACTTAGAAGCCATTATTTTTGCCTCACTGAGAAATAAGTAAGTGTGTCGCACCCACTGTGGTAGAAAAAATGCTTTGATATGCAGTGAGGACCAAGTCCGCGGCGTCGGCCTACCGCTTCCTTCCCCCAGGCACTAGCATTCTGTCCGAACCAGACAACCAACGCTGATGGCAGTGTGCGCAGTGACTGACGCGGTGGCGGCACACGTCCGATGCTGACAGAACAGGCGTCCGAGTGTCACCGGGGCAGGCGCCAGAGCGTCTTGGGCAAGGACATACCTGGGGAGGCCTTAAATTCAACTGATCCGTTTGGACAGCTGTGATTGGCTGAGAACCAGACCGCCAGCGGAGTACGCTAGAGGCGCAGTGTTGAAGTTGATATCCGACCGAAAGACAATGTCGAGACGACCGGAGGCGGGCGTAGATGCAAAACGACTATTGTTCAGCAACCAGTTGCTGATCGGCAGGAAATGTCCCCTCTAAATTCCACTGACCCTCGAAAAGTACAACCAGGGTGTAAGAACCACAGCATTGAGGTCTTCAAAAAACTCGATTTCGTCGTAGCTTACCGGATAGCGGTCGCATGAGGCGGTTTGGCAGAGTGACAGTCCTCCGCAATTCCTGGATTCCGAGGTTGACATCTCTATCTATTCCTCCAGCAAACCATTAGTGGGTTCCAGGATCATACCGGATGGACTGAGAAACCTGCCGGTATGGCTGTCAAAATCCACTACGAAGTAGAGACCTTGTAGCTTGTGACGCCGTTGCGAGATCGGTGTGCAACCATGTCTGGTGGCATTAGCCCTGCATTTTGCTGCTGGTCGTGCCACCGTCCGCCACCTGTGAACGGGACGGGTAGTCCGCATCCAAGGTCATACCCTTAACTAATGAAGGGTAATTCTGGGAACAACGACGCAACTATGTTGTCGAGAAGTAGGTTTCTGTGAGTACAAATGAATACAGAGCTCTCCAGCACGGGGTGAATTCATCCCCCCGTCCCAAAAATAACCAAATGGAAACCGATCTTCAAAAATACATCATGGTTGACAGTTGAAAAATGGAGGTAAGTGGATATCCAATAGGTAGATAAAAAAAAAGAAGTGGGGGAGCATAACTTCATACGAATGATAAGAAGAACACAGCCAAGAAAACACTTAGATTCTAAGGCACGGCACAGCGGGAAGCGCATTCATCCGACTCTCGCCGAGGTAGGTGGGAGGGGGGGGGGAGAGATTACATATCCGGCTTTAACAGGGGAGGAAAAGGGTACAGGGAAGGCCGTGAGGTGGTTGGGCGAAGGTGGAAGGGAGAGAGAGGGCTTGCGCGATAAGATAACTCCACGATCGGGTGTTGCGCGTGCTGATGAGAGAGAGATGTGCAAACCAGTGCCGGTAAACTGGTCGAGTGGCACCTTTAAAAGTCTGAGTCTTCACTGGAGTCATCCGAGAGATAGGCCCGTCGCGAAGCTAGGAGATTATTCAAAGCTTGACTCAGACTGGCAGCCAACATGTCCTTGTGACCGTCTCCACTGCTTACCGGGCTTATAGGTCCAGGGTGATCTTCCACCTGAAACAGACCGGACAATTTATACGTTTGTTCAAGTCCTCTCAGATCATAAAGGACAAGACGGGTTTTCGGTGATGGATGGTTGCAGCAGGGCGTGCGTACCAAGTACTATTAGTCGGCTTCTTGTGCACTTATCTGTGATTGGACAGTCACCAGCCAATAAGATAATCGAAGTCATTGTTTTCGAGAAAACGGTAGGTAGAAAAGCTAGTAGTATGCCTTTTCAAAGTTATTTGCCTAGCTGAGTGGTCGTTGGCCACTGTTGTGCTCGACGGCAGTAACGATAGAAGTACTCGGTATTCTGCGCTGCAGAATCCGGATCCCGTGAAAGTACGCGCTGCTAACACAAGCGGTTTTCCCTAGAAGTTCAAACTAATAGGGGAAAAACGCGCCCTGTACATTGCAGGTATTGGATTGGAAGACGACGGATAAGGATAACTTCTGAATAACTTCTACTTGTGGCCGCGTCATTGAAATTTCGGTGAACGAGCTTCCCAAAGAAACGGCTTGTGACATTATCAATGGAAAGTGGTGGTGGTAATGGTGGCGGCGGTGGTAAATCCTCACATAATAATTTCACTAAAGAAATGGGTCTTCGTAAGTTTTTCTGAATCGGTGTTACATGCACATCTGCGCGCCTCAGCGCGTCTTTATTGAACACAAAGTAGCAAAAGTGGGCGTATATGAAATACTGGCCGAAGTATTAGTCTAATTTGAATTCGGCAACTGTACAGTCTCAGTGGCCAATCGCCTGCCTTGTCGATGGGCCAAACTCGACAACAGGTAGCGCGGGGAGAAGTGCTACGAAAAGGCCTGATTTCGCACAAGTTGGACTTCAGAAAGATATACCTTTTTAAGATGTCCTTTATTGAAGTTTTGGATTTCCGATTGCAGATCAATAGGAGCGGTCGTCGTAGGCAAACCACCTCCAGGCGGATGACCTCTCGGCGCAGGAACAGGCGGCTGGCCACCCGACGCTGGTGGTGGCGGAGGTGGGGGTGGAGGTGGTGGTGCCCTGCCAGTACCGCCTCCAGCAGAGGGCGGAGGTGGTGGAGGCGGCGGGGGCGGTGTCGGCGGCGGAGGCATTCGTCCCGGAGGTGGCGGCGGCGGTGCTGCTCGCCCCGGTGGCGGTGGTGGTGGCACAGTGGGGGGAGGGGGAAAATTGGTTGGAACTGGAGGCGGCGGTACTGTGGGCCGGTTAGAGAAAGACGGAACAGGGGGTGCTGCACCACGATTAAAGGCCGTGGTCGGACCGGTGCTCTGTGGCGGTTGAGGGGCGCGGACTTTCATAGCCTTATTGAACTGGATGAAAGAAACATAGTGTGCTATGGCTGAAAGTAGGTTGAAAGATCGATCCGTGAGAGGACTACAGCCGCATCATTGTGAAGACTGACCAATACGTTCTGAACATGTTTGATGCCACTTAGTCTTCCATGCTTTGCTGTTACAAGTATCCCATAACCTGCATGACTGTTTATATGTTAGCGGAGCATAGATGCAAGGCAGTGAAGTACCTTAACGACAAGTCATTTTAAAGAACGCACGCACTGTTTGTAATAGGGAGGGACAGAAAGCAAGGGAGCACAATGTATTGGAATGTGGTCTCATGGCAGCCGCCAAACATGAGGCTGAGTCTTGTTCTTCAGATTAACTACGTAATGCTTAGTAGGCGCGGGCAGGTTCGACACACGTTTGGCAACCTACGACCTACCTTCAGCGCATCGACCTCCCCATGCGATCTAACCTGCGGCGTGTAGAGTTATGAAAGTTGCACGTAGATTAGGTTTATTTTGTTTTAGACTGTACGTGACTAGGTGAAAGGGTGGGTCGCCCCCTCCTCCCTAAACGGTCCTTATGAGTTCGTGCATAACCTAGTCTGAAACCATCATCCATTTTGATTTGAGCCATCGCATGAGACAAACGGGGAGGAATAGAGCACGGTTGGTAACATCCGACCTCGATTAAGGGGGTTCTCCGTCATCTCTGTCGCTGGCAACATTGGTAACTAGGGCTCCAAGGTAACCGCTGCCTTCGAGCTTATCACAACCCCTGCGGACAACGGTCCTTCTTGTTACTTCGGTGTGTCTGGTCCTCAAAACGGTCCTGCAATGCTGCTTAAGACAGGAACGAGCCCTTACCGTGCAGGTTGGCCAGAGGATCGTGTCAAGTCAGCTGTTGATCTTAATCCCACCACCAGCCTCCAAACAGATTTAGGCAGGCCATTGCTGCAGGAGAGAAAAGGGGAGGGGGAGTAGGGAGTGACACCAGTAAATATCCTTACGCACAGCAATCTACCAACGGGTAAGAAGACAGGAAGCAGTGTCTGACGCGTAGGTGTGTCACGCGCTGTACGACAGTAGTTACGGGTTCACGTGGACCCAGCGCAACCCGATAAACGCATGCAGTGAGCCAGTCTGTGGCGCAAGATGCTCAAGCGCATCTGCAACGCCGCCAGTTGTAGGGAAACACAACCAAAACCACGCACCAAGGACTTCAAAAAAGATGTATCTTCCGGTGCTTACTGTTCCTCCTCTTACAAAATCAGTTTGGGGCATAAACCGAGGTTATCAAAGGATTCTGAGCACAAGGTTGACTGCCTCTCACGGCTGACATGTGAGTCTAAACCCATAAGACGTCCCCCGTCAAAATTGCCCACAAGACCGATCACAAACTCTGACCTGGGAAATTTGACTTCAAGAAAAAAGGCCAAGACAGACGTAAAACCTTATCTGCACAATACGCTGTGGTATTTGTACTTGTACATGGTACAGCTGCGATCATGCCTGATCTAGCCGGCCTCGATGATGTCCCGAACTGTACCTCTCCACGCGTGACGATCCGCGGCAGCAGATCTGGACAGCTCAATCCATTCCCTTCGGCAACAACAGAGACCGAATACCGAAGGTCCAAGAACCACCTCCATGTCTTGACGAACTGTGTCGAGTCAGGTTTTGAGTTGACCCCCTCCTCGACGCCTCCAATGGGGTAACGGTGCCGGATCAAAAAAACAGTAACATTGAACTCCGAAGGCGAACGACAAACATGCCCGAACCATCCCAGTCGGCTTTCTTGGATGGTCTGAGTTATCCTTGAAATTTTGTCGCAGCGAGAGCAGACTGTCTCATTTGAGACGAACTCAGTGTACTTCACTCGAAGGATGGTCCTCGAGCAGTGGCGGTCAAATACCTCCAGTTTTCGTTCGTCCTCCACGCGCACGGCCCATCGGTCACAACCACAGAGAAGGACAGACAGGACGAATGCAGGGTACACGCGAATCTTAGTGGCGATGGAGAGGTCGCGTCTGATCCATAGGCATTTTCTAAAACTCGAGAAAACCCATCGGGCAGCATCGATTCGGGAGACAATGTCGTCCTTTCTCTGCCTATTCGGCAGCAGCCTCGCCCCGAGGTATTAAAAGCTGCCTACTCCTTCAAGTTGACAGCCACCAATCCCGAGGGGTGCCTTCTCCTGGTCAGGAATGCAGTTTGAAAACACTTCGGTCTTCTCAACGTTTATGGATAAACCGACCGATTTACCGACCTCGTTCACCCGTGGCACCATAGACTGCAGATCACCAAAACTTGAAGCAAGTAAGGCAATATCATCGGCATTACGCTGTGCTATTTCACGAGGAATCTGGCAAGAGCCTCTACGCAATTCCACGTGCCTCCACTATGCTGACGATTAAAGCAGAGGGTCAAACGACGGTACTCCACACAAAGTACACGCCTGAAACACGGGTGCGTGTGGGTGCTCACGTGTGCACAAACCCATGCCTAACTGAGCTCTTCAAGGTCAGGCTGTGTGCTGGCAACACGGTCCTGAGAGCGCGAAGCGGTGAATGCCAGTGTTTGCTTCTTTCTCGAGAAAAGAGAGTGACTAGGCGCACCAAGTGGCAATCCACGATGTCAGCGCTGTCGCACGGCTAAAAAAGACCTCCCCCTAGGCCTCTGTGGCAAAAATTGAAAAGAAAACAGTGCGAAACTGCAAAAAATGTACAAAGGCCTTTTTTGAGCATCAGAAAATGTGAACACGAGCAAACGGGACTGACGGGGACATGGAGGAGGACTCACCTCATGGACGTCGACATTCTGGGCGATGAAATCGATTGCGAATTTTGCATCTTCTGGGGACGTTAACAGGTTGTGAAGGTTGCTGTCCTTGAAGAACTGTTGCAGCATGTCTTCGTCCAAACCCATCATGTCAAACTGTTTCGACTCCTTGTTGAAACCGAGGTGCTGTATGTGACGGAATTCAGTGGGGCCGCTGATGGATGGGGCCTTCTTCTGTTAACAAAGGACGAATGCACATCGTAAGCGGTGATGGAGTGAGCGGCAAACGAGCAAGCCACTGGGAAGAGAAGAAATGTGCATTAGGAGGGTTAAGCCGAGCGGCTGATTAGCAGACGGTTAGAACGAGGCACTGCCTCAGGTTAATAGGTGAAAAGGACACTGTGAAGAACAAAATTGGACACGCAAGACTAACCTTTGATTTCTCTGACGAATAGAACTAAAATAGGGGAGAGGGCAGGGGACGGATAAGACAGATAACTACTCAGTTGGGATGGTTTGCAAAACGATTCGGCAAGATGATGAAGGACAGCCCTCGCCAGAGAAAATATCAACGCATGAGAGGACGAACATAGGAATTGAGAACTATTTGGCATTCAACTGGAATATCGACAAGGATGCGCCCTGTCCTCATTCTACACTAAACTACGTGGCTGATCGTATCCCTCGAAGAATATGTGCACCCCGCAAGCAATGTCGAAGTTGTCTCAGTATGCTGGTTGACGACTGCGAAGACCTACAAGATGTAGTGACCCAGTCAAATAAGGTCGAAAATCTAGCGGGCTAGAAGATATATGTCAGAGCAGGGAAAGGCATCATCAACGATGAATGGTCGGCCTGCGGAAATGGACGTTCTCCAAGACTTTAATGGATGCTGTTTAGAAGTCTGCTTACAAGGCTCCGAATGAGTCGTGCTCACCAAGTACCCTTCTAGGCAGTTCGAATGTGGATGCTAGGCTCAATAATTTATAAGCCGTCAGTGTTGCTTGAAGGCGACTCTGGTCTAGATGAGGCCAGCAGTGTTCGCCGCAGGATCCCGGAACCATCTCCATTTATCCAAGAGGCTAGCTGTAAAGTCCAATTTCAAAGCCATGAGATAATGGCAAATGCATTCTGTCTAAATTTGCCAAAGTCAGCATATACCCACAGACAAAAAACAAAACATGTAGGTTGACATTGTCCAGAAACGGCCCGCGATAAGATTTCACGTTAAAAGTATTAAGTGGTGGGGGGGGACATATAAAAAGCATCGTCTGCACTAATGCCCGAATACCTTAAACTAGCCAGGAAGTTTAGGCTGGAAACAATAGGCGACATAGCGGAGAGGTCTCAGAGACAGGGATAAACGAGGCCAGAATGGCCGTTTCTGGTCTACCTGCCGTCACCAGTCGGTGGACCCAGAAGGAGAATGTCGGCAGTGTCAACCCAGGCTCGAGCGGTTTGTAAATTCGAAAGCTAGGCATGTAAATCCTAGACTCGCGGTCTACAGTGTGTTCTCAAAAACCCTGATTTCCAAGCAAAGCCATGCATACATAACTCACCTACACACGCGCTACCAATTTTCGTGGGAGGCTAGTACGCCCTCAATGCGGCCGAATACCAGGCAGTACTCCAACCTAGAGATAACCCCCCCCCCCGCTCCTTGAGCTTTGAGTAAGGAATTGTGGAAGAACAGTGCCGACCAAGAGAAAAGAGATGGAAATGAGGACTGTTTCCTCGAGATCGGCGGCTGCCAAAGTAGGATAGGCCTGTCGTCCTTGAAGGCGATGCGCCTGTTGAAATTCCACGACGCTCTCGAAAGGCCTTTGAAACCGCCCTCGGAACTCCGACTGCATCAGCCAAGTGGGTGTTGAGCCGCATAAATTTCCGACGAAGGTCCCGAAAAATCTCTGCAACAGGCGTCGTAGAATTGAGGCCTGAAGCCCGAGCCAGGTCAGAGACGTTGTCATCCAGTTGTGACAGGATTGCCGCGCCCCTAGATTTGCCGTTCACGCCGCCTAGGAAGTCTGCCATCCGGGCTTCCCAACGGTCAAAATCGCCTGACCGAGAAATTTTGGCAGGGAGGGGGCGGGACACGAAGGCAGTGCCAGTTTCTGCAGCTCCTTAACAAGTTTACTTACGGGATTGTCTGCAATTTTGCATGCGGCACCGCTACCACCAAATTGTAACGTCTCCGATCCGATTGAGGGCAAACTCCAAGGAGAATTAAGGCGATTTGTAAAGAAATAATGAGACGTGTATTGAACTGAACCTACCACAGTCCTCGCTACTGGCCATGCATAAATAACTCACCTAAACAAGCACTACCAATTTTCGTGAGAGGCTAGTACGCCGTAAATGCCGCCGACTATAAGACAACACTCCAACCTGGAGATAACTCCCGCGCCCCTTGAGCTTTGAGTAATTAATTGTGGAAGAACACTGCCGACCAGAAGAAAAGAGACGGAAATGTCTATTTGTTACTTATCATCATCAGCCAGTTACACCTCAACCAGGGGAAGAGAGGGCCTGAGATTTGGACGCAGGCTCATGCGGTCGACCGCAATCGGAAGGACTCGGAGAATCACATGCGAATAGCCTCTGGCGATCGGGCCTGATTTCAGTCGGGAAAACGGACGTTTCACCCTCGCTTGCAGCCCCAGACTAGAACAATCATTAGCCGATTTTACAGACTACAGAAAGGAGACTGCGGTGGTCGACTGAGGCCAGTTCATCCAAAAAGACGCAAATAGGTAGCCAATAAGGCATAATCAGAGGATCAGTTGCTCGGTTGACTGACATATAGAAAGCAATGCAGGTAATCGGAAGTTTCAGGAAAAAATAACGTGATTTGCGACTGTGAACTCCAGAAATAAGCTATACAGAAGGTTTCATCTCATCAATACAGTAGGTGCGCTAACTCATGAAATATTAACCAAAATTCTGAAATGCGTTTTCGTTACTAAAAGATCGCTTAAGTAAAGCTGTAAAATGAATCATCGTGCGACCTAATTCTATAATAATTCAATTACCTCAGAATGCCGGCTTTCTAATGAACTTATCTCCGGCCGCAAGCAAAAACTGTATTCTGCAAAAAATGACTACTTATATAGCATGAATTTTTCTTATTGATTTTCGATGCCCTTAAAAATTCAACTATATTTTGTAGAAAACATGTATAAAAAATATTAATCCCTTCACTCATTGGGTAGAAAATTACCTCTTCGTCAAAGTGCATACTCGAAGGAGGGGTATGATTCGGTTTTAAAAAATTTCTAATTATGAGATTTTTTAATACCGTGAAATGCCCGTTTACAAAACATCGTGTCTTTGCATTTGCTAATGCGGCTTGTAAAGTTAACAATATAGTTCAAATTCACTGGTAAATTTTATGAACCCCATATGGTCTCCTCTAAATACCGTAGAGAAATGTACGGTTGTACGTAGGGTTGTAGTTTTGAAACCCTGAATACAAGTGTAGCGGCAGGTCAGGTTCAAAATTATTCGACAACTAGAAAATTCTTTAAAAACCAATTTATACCCTTTCTTTGAGTACGAAATTGGAAGAAGACGTCATTATCTAGCTAATGTGCAAAAGAATGAATATTTTATGCATTTTTTCCATAAAATATAATTGCATTTTTAAGGACATGGAAAATCAACGAAAAAATACATAAAATTTTAACAGTCATTTTTTACAGTGTGGATTTGCATGCGGCCGGGGAGAAGTTCCTTCGAAAGCCGGTGTCCCAAGGTAGCCGAATTATTGTATAAGTATGCTGCAAGATGATTAGTTTTATAACCCTACTTAGGGTAATCTTTTCGAAACCGAAACGAATTTCAGAATTTCGGTTGACATTTCACGAATAAGCACACCTACTGTATACTTTAAAAAACAAATTAAAAATTGACCAGTGCTCGTGCGTGTGTGTGTATGTACAGAATACTCACCTTTTTGCGGAAACTAGAAAAACGAAAGCCGTGCTTTGTGGGTGCCTCTGCCGGGGGTCTTTCTACTACGTACATCATGTTAACGTCGGTGGTGTTGGGTTTATCCACACTGTGAGTGCGCGTCTCACTGTACGGGGTCTGACCCCACCTGGTTAGCAGGTTTGTGAAGCTTTCCTGGAATGTGTTGGCCTCCTCGACATCAGCAAAGGCCAGTCCAACGGGGAAACGATCACCTTGAAAGGTATGGAAGTTGGGCGTCAGAGTTGTGTACTTCATCTCCAGGAAGATGGCCTGCTCGTAGAGCTGAGAAGCCTTCTAAAAGAGGAGAGAGAGAGGGTAGGAGGGGTGAGCGCGTTAGTTCGAGGACAGGCCAAGGGAAAAACGAACCTCCAGATCGTAGACGCGAACATAGTATGACTTCAGGGACCGATCCTTCTCGATGGTTGCAACTCCGCTGTGAAGTTGGCGCCAACCGCCTGCTCCATCCGGTGCGTAAACACAGACGACAGCTGCACAGTTGGCTATACACTTGGTACCCAGATTCGAAACCAGTCGCTGTTTTTCATCCTCTGTGAGCAGCCTGCAGGCGACGGGTCGTTTCGGCACGGACTGCAGCAGTTTGAGATAAAAAAAGGAGGAGGTACTCATTAACCAACAGGACCAACTGCAGCAGCACGAAAAGTACAAACTGAAAATCAAAGAGGTAGTCAAGGAACGTGCACCAAGCACGTTTACCTCGGTGGAAAACTGACAACTTGTGGAAGTTTGTTTGACTTCACAACTGACTTCCGCCAGGGTCGCGACACAGGCACAATGACAGCAAACAACGTTTGGCAGCATCAGAACACAGGAGAACTACCAGTAATGCCGAAACTTGTGAAGAGGCAGTTTCTTATGCCGAACGATTCACTGGTACCGACGTGTTAGGTGTCTTGTGAGGTATATGGTTAGACTACAGGCATGATGGCCAAAGCTGTAGGTGGTCAGCGAAGGGCGCAAAAGCCCTTCTACAACGAGAGACAGGAGCTGCTGGAGGAGAAGCAGCACTGCTTTGCAATGAGACGATTTTCAATGTTAATAACTGCCACCGACCGAAGCTGCATGCGCTATATCCGACGGCATTAAAGTATTAGGTGAGGAAGGCTTACAGAGACAGCCATCCTGGACTGCAGAATTAGTTCTGCTATCCGCATAGATCCTTCGAGGCAATAGTCCGACAAAATTATCTTTTCAAACATATGCAGGAGCTTTTTAACGGATTAACATGCCGGATTTCTTGATCTCTAAACTTTGGTTCCTAGAGCAGAACAAATAAAATTCTGTTATGACATAAACGGATGCTGCACCAGTAACAAAAAACTGCGGGTCAAGTGTCACCCGAATTGATTTCAATGAATGCTAAAAGCTGATCCTGAAACGGATCGCTTGTACTCTCAACGGGACTTAGAATACATAGAGGTAAGATTTGAGCCGTATGAGAAATATTTCAGCGATGATACCCATGCAGACATCTAAGATTTCAAGTCCGGCAAACCAACGCTTTCGATTATTCATCACCAGGCCTGTACAGTAATATAACGGAGGGCAAAATAGCAAAAGCAAAACATCCGATTAAAGTCAATATGGGGGAGAGGGTTGAAGGACGTTCAAAGCACAGTGGTCAGATTTCAGTTCTGTCTGGGGTTTAGGGAGGGGAATGGGGAGGGGGAAGGATATATTGGCCGAACAAAAAGGTGTCTATCTGAGCGAATGCGAGAGCACCGTCCTGTCTGACTAAATCAAGGTGGGGAAAAGTCAATCTCTAGCGCAAATGCGGCTCACTTGGTTGACAGCGGCCACTTGGTAGACGTCAGTCAAGCATTCCGATGCATCTATAAAGTGTCGGCAAGACACTCCAAGTTCCCGCATCAGCGAATAATTGCGACAACAGAGGCAGTGACCATACGGTTGGCCAACCCAGCCTTGTGCTCGAATAAAGGCTTTGTACAGGCGCCAAGCCTGCCCTGGACAAAGACACATTCACCATATCTGCTCATGCCCACTGCCAAGTCGCGTAACAGCGACAAAACACGGAGAGCAAATCTTTAGACACCTCCCCCCCCCTAAACCCCAGACAGAACTAGAATCTGACCACTGAGCTCTGAACCCTTCAACCCTCTCCCCCATACTGACTTTTATTAAATGTTCAAATTCTGCTTTTCTGTCCTCCACTACATTACTGTACTCCCTGATTATGAATAATCGAAAGCAACGTTTGTGCAAAGGTCACAATGTGCAAAAACGCTATGCTGCATAAACGTTGGCTGCAGACCCTGATAAACCTGTTTGGAAACTCGTCATCAGGCCAAATTGACTTTTCAATTGCAACATGGGAATATTCGCGGAACTTAGACAGTTAAGGTGTTGTTTTCGATCAACCTCGTCTTACGAGGGAAAGGAAAGGATAGGATACCAGCACAGACCACCTCTATGCGCTCTTACTTCTTAACTTGCTCCTGTGGAGAAAGCTACATTGGTCGTACAAGTCGCCGCCTGTCCAAAAGAATACGAGAACACCTGCTGGCATGGCTGGGGAAGGGTGAAGTTAATAGTATACACAACTCCATCCGCGCATACATGGTTGATTCTGGGCACCGCGTGGATCTCAACGAAGCCTTCCGTATGATTTACAACGTCCCACCTAACTATCCTAAGCGACTGGGTCAGTGCTTACTAGCAACATCAGAGGCGACTGCTATCAGGCTACGGAGGCCAGTCCTGTGCGCGCAGAAGAACCTCTTGCACACTCCGCGTCTACCGTGGGCAAGGATCGATTAACGTTATGCCTGTATCCACTCCCCCTTCCCTCCTCTCCTCCCCTTGCGACACGTCACGACCTAACCCTCACTAGCACTTACTGCCTCCTCCCCTCCCCTTCCCACTCACTTAATCACATATCGCGTTTGTGTGAAAAGACGAACCGCACGGGCTTCAGCTTGTACCTAAATGCCATACAAATGTACAGGTCCCATAAAAATTTATCAAAAACACACGTACGCTCGCCAAACGTTCTTCTAAAAATAGGAAGAGATAAGGACTGAGACTACGCTGGGAGGTCAGGAGACCGCAAACCCAACAACACGAACACGACTCAGGAAGACGTACGTTTGTGGCAACTCTGGCGATTGCATTTAGAAGAGGTTAACGCATTTATCAAACAAAAAAGCAGACGGTTGTGAAGAAAGTCAGAAGATTATCTTCGACAAAGTAATGATCTGACGTCCAACCAGTTTAGGTGACATTTTCCTGATGAAAGACTGCAACAGCAATCCAACTCCTCGGATACAATCGGAAACTCCTTGACAATGGCAATTACAAACACATGGTGTAAGTGTACATAGTACACTAAAACAGCAAACTAGGTCTACCAGGCAGCATCCACGAGTACGAAAGGTAAAGCTTTAAGCGGCTACATCAACCAACTCTTTTAACTGAACGCAAAAGTAAAAAAGCTCCAAGTAGCCAAAAGAAGCGGGTAAGGCCGTAAACTTGACGTGTTAATCATCGTACTTCCCGAAAAGTGGAACCCAGAGGTAAAGCCCACTTTCTAGCTGTCGCTCAGTAACTTACATTAATCAAAATAAGCATTCTAAAAGACTTACTAAACCCTAACACCTGAACAATCCCTTAAAAGCTAACATGGAACGACGACAAAATACACTGTAGACGATCGCCACGATCTGCAACGTCGAAGGGACTCTATTCTCGAATTTCGGCTGACTAAACTAATCAGGTCAAGCGTGAGGTAAGTCTTCTCTTTTCAATAAAAATCTAGAGGGCGTACGCGCCAGCCAAATACTTCAAACATTTTATAAAGTTAAGTACAACATTCTTCTCGCGGTATCGGAGTTAAGAAGGTACAAGTTCCCTTTCTCCGGAAGAGTCACGAAACGATAGGCTGCATACCGTGGGTTCCGACAAAGTTGTTGGCCCATTGTTTGGGAATGCATGCAAGGTCCCTTTCAGTTAATTGAGAACCTGTTAAAGACAATAGTAGAACGTCGGTGCTGATGCAAATTCGAATTTCGAGGTGAGAGTTCCTACCGGTCGCAGTTGTTTTTAGGAAGTCGATGCCAGAATCACGTCAAGTACTGAGAAAAACCTTCCCATGGAGGAATATAAGAAACAGCGTAGTGCATCTTAATTATTTTCTCACTGGACAACAGGGCAAATTGGATTGTCGACATTGAATAAGACTTAGGAAATTCGGGAGCAAACTCCCCTAGAGATGTCGCCGGCAAATATTCAGGCACAGACCGATAAACGCAACTTTCAGTAAGACTTTGGTGGCCTTTACCCATTGTACAAACTTCAGACTTAGTTTCAAAAAATAACAACAGACTCATCGACATGGTCGGTTGTCAGAAGAGTTCAATGGACACATCAACCGAAACTTCTCTGGGACTAATGGTTAGCGAAACAGGAGGCATGTTTGGCAGAAACGGTCGTGCACATGTGGAAATAGGATATTCGTCGAAAAGCGAATAAATCCTAAGAATCCAGAGAATAAGGAACAGCTGAAAGATGATGCGCATGTTTTGTTGAAATGTTAGGATGATACCTGAAAAGAAAGGTTGCCACCAGTAACCCATATGGGACAAATATTTTTACGTCCGCCAACATGGAATGTAAAGTTAAAAAGCAAGACCTCATCATAGTAACGTAACCTATGGATAAAAACGTGCAAACATACACAGGACAAAAAGACTTGATCGCGATGCAAAGGTCGACGTTGTTGTTAAAGGACAGTTTTATGCCGAAAACACGCGGCACTAAAAAAGGGAATGTGCTATAATAGGTATCAAGAATAAAGTAGTTATCCTCGAAAGAGCGTCTTTTGAAGCCCGAAAGACTGCTACTTCAATGTTCGTTACTGGCTAACGTCTGTAATCCCAGACGATAAACGACTTCCGTACATGTTTAAAGAGATAATTGTGTCAGACCTTTGCCTCGCGTAATGTATCCAAGTCTCATCGTAATTAAACAAAGGGTTAAAGGGTTTGAGGCCTGTGCGTGCGATGATGCTGCGTAAGGTCAGTAAAATAAACGCACAGAGTGACCACGGAAACTGTGTTCCAAGAGGTTCACACTACTTGGTGCCAGCTTATCAATAAAATGCACCTCTCACAAAAATGATCGCCAAAGGTTCCAAGTGCCCGCCGGTCCACACCTACTTACAAATTTTACTGCTTAGGATGAAAGAGACTCGGATCAAAAATCAACTGACACACTGTTAGCGCGCAGACCGCCGAGCTACACAGGTTGTCATGGCCCATCCTGCCACTCAGCTATTATCGACATACAGGCGAAAATAAGAAGGCAAGAAAAAAAACATCGAGTTCATGCGTAAGCAACTGGCTTAACTCATAAAGAGCAACTTCGGCATGCATGAGAACCCGCACAAAATGCAGGTACTTAATAACCGCCGAGGGTCCGCTCAGGAAACTGAGAGGCCGCCTTCCCTTCCGATCCCCTAAGTCAGCCCATCCGCACTCTGTCCGACTTCCTGGAGGTCAATAGTAGGCTGCATGACCTTCAGGTCAGGAGTCAACTGGTAAGGATAAGGAAATTTATGACATGATCACAGAGGAACTTCCTGATGTGTCTCAGTGGATGTAACGCAGATAATTTTGGGAAGTGGGTATTTTATGTCCCCTTGAAGGAAGAAGACTAAAGAAGGCCTGTGCGGTTCACAGGTGTGCGTGACAAAAGGTAGGCCCTTGCTTATATGTAACTGTACATGCCAAATAAACGTAAACGCGGCTTGGAAGAGAGGGGGAAGAGTTGAAATGAACTGCTGTTACAAGACGATTGAAAATATCCCTCCATGCCATACGCAAGTGATGTTCTCAGGCGGACTCCACACTGGATGACTCTGATGGTTGGCGTCTTTGTAATCTTATTACACCTGCTTGGCTTAGAACCGACTGCAGGACCGCCGTCGTCCAGGCCGCAGGAGGAGATATGAAGATAATTTTTGTAATTAATACTTTTATAGCAAGGCTTTTTGTCACAAAAAATACGCCTTTATATACCTTTTAGGGGGCTACGTAGCGAGTATAGTAATAGATCGGATGGGAGGTGCGGGAAAGAACATTTGTAGATTCTAAAAGACATCCTTCGCGTAGGATAGGCGTCCCGGAGGTGCATAGGGCCATATTGCGTTTAAATGGACAAAATTTTCTACAAATCGGTCATACTATCGCGACTTTTCCACAGCGAAGCGCTGTCGCCTTGCTATGGATTTGCTACTAGGGCACTGGGTCAGCAACTGCAGGCAAATGGTCATGCGCGAGAAAAGGCTGAGATGCATTCAATACTAGCAACACCAACAACTCTCCATAAAATTTCGACATTTCACGAAAGTTCAGGCCGTTAGGCTTTGATACTGGCTAAAATAAACCACTCTGCCAAAACGACTTACCATCCGCACGCTCTGTAGTGTGGGTCGAAATTCGAAATTGCTTAATGACCTTAGTAAACAGAACCGATGGGAATAATTTTAAAAGTTCAATTAGTTTAGATTGCAAGATCAAGAAAGGCCATGGTATTCTGGAGTACGCGGTGCCACTGATTCATCGTGAGACAAAGGAATTTAATTTCAGAGCATTAGCCAAAACCTTTATTTAAAAGCCGTCAGAGTCGAAAATGGAAAACTGAGACGACCAATTAATTTTGGGAGGGTAGGGTCCCTGCCAACACATGGCCTCGGGGGCCAGGCCCCGTCCAAATTTCAATCCTTTCTTACCACGTCATTCTGCATTATTTTAGACGGTTTTAGCTTTATTCTCGTTAAATATAAGCTTTTTAACTTGTATGATGCTTTATTAGTCGTACGACATCGAGAGAAATTCATGTTTCACAAAGGCAAATATTGGCCTTGTTTAAGTCGGTCATGTACATACCCACTTGAACGGCACTTTTACGCTGACTGTGTGCACGCGTGATCCATACAGCTGACCGACTTCTACTTCTTATTTGGCTCGTGTTGACTGCAGTACGTTATCCGTTTACTTATTTATTTCTTCTATGCGATGCAATGTGTCATTGTAATAAGTAAATGTTTACTAAAAGTCTCAAGAATAGTAATTTAAGTTATTTATAAGAATGGCACATAATCTGACTGCTTGAGTGTAGTATATGGCGGTGTAATATGTGTTAATGTTATTTATATGTTAATTCTAAGCGAATGTGGAAAGGAAATACTGGGGAAATCATCGCAGTAGAATGCATAACATGACTAAGCGGGCGAAGATGGCGTACTATGCCGCCACCGATGACCCCTCGTTCCCGTATACGTCATCTCTCGTAACGGAGCCGTCACCCGAACCATCGATGCCGCACCTTAGCCCTGAAGTTAGCATTGGTAGGTGTTATATGATATGTTATAAGACGATGTAGACGACGACCAGGTTTCAGATGAAAGCTCGAACCCGTTCGGTGGCAATTGCTTCCTGACGGATTTGAGGGAATTCTGCTTAAGTGTCACATTACCGCAGGCAACATTCAAGTTGTTGTTCCAAATATTGCGGAAATACCACCCAGAGGTGCCCAAGGACCCGCGAACTGTCATGCAGACACCGCGAGCATGCGTTACTGAGTCCCTCTCTAACGGCAGCTACGTCCACCTGGGCCTTAAACGCGGTCTGTTAGGTGAGCTGCAGCTTCGACCGTCGGCTTTGTTACCGAAAATACGGGTTCAACTCCACATTGACGGAATGAAGCTGTTTAAAGTGTCTGGTCGGTGTCTATGGCCAATCCTCGGTCGAGTCAGCTATCCTGTCCGTGGACTGCCGTTTGTTGTTGGAGGGGAAGGCTCTCCGTAAGCATTCAGCTGGTGGTGGAATGTTAAGCTGTTGGAGCGAAGCAATTGGTGGAGGACAAAGTTGCTGCGCTCTAAAATAAGTGGGGTAATTACTAACTAGAAATGCAGCAATAGGTGGAAAAACATTTGAGGTGGACCCAGGAAGAGGAAAGCCATTTTGTTGGGTTGAAAAAATAGGAGGCATGAAAATAGGATTTTGGGAACTGTTAGCATAATATGAGGGGTAGTTTATGTTAGGTAGCGGACGTAATGGTTTCGGGAGACAGTTAACATCAGGAAAGGGCTTTATTATTTGGGGTGTCAGACTAGCGATATGATTGGAAAAGTTATCAGCAATGCTATATACTTGCATTTTGCAGTCTGGTGTGTAAGAGGGCTTCACTTCATCGAACCGAAGTTCATCAGTGCCTCGCCACCTGTCATTCTCTGTCGCTCTCCGAGTTTTCGTCGAATTAACTTGATAGTATAGGGCAGACTGAACGTCGCGTGGAAATAAATTGCGAACTGACAACGTATCCTTTGGATTTGGATTACAAGTGCACCAACTCGAAAGTTCTAACATTGTTGGAATTTTCGGATCTCGACGTTATTTCCCACAGTATCAGGAGAAGGATTCTACCTGAATTCTTCAAGGAACAGCACCACTGATTAGTCTTCTCATTCGCACCGGTGATGTATACCAGAAATGCTCCATCAAGAGATATTTGCAATCGTCCGACCATCTGTACAAGTCTCCTTACTTGACAACTTTTCTCCGAGATCTACGTCGAAAACTATAAACGGCTGAGTCGTTTCCTATTTAACTTCATAATTAGCAAAATCTTCATTCTAACAAATGTTGAAAACATCCTGCACTACTCTAGAACTGTTTGACGAGCTTGAAAATCATCAACAATGAGCAAATTTGTTATAAAGAACTCGTTCACAAAAGTTGTGCTATCGACGGACGGATTGGCGCTAGTCAGATATGTTTATCAACTACAGAAGAGCAGCTGAAAACGGTCTTTAATTCATTAGTAGTCTCTTGCGATAAAATGCCGCTGGAATCATTAGACACCAGGGAGATTACGCACAATAGGCTCCAAGAGATAAGGCAGGAAATAAGAACCGATGCACTGCTAAGAGGCCTTGAAAAACGTATGACCGACGGGACGGATTCTGCGCTTGTCGGTCGCTGTGTCGGCTGTAAGGAACTTGAAAAGCGGGTCCAGACGCTAGAAGAGAAGCAAGGCCTACTGACGGACATCATCATGGCTATTCTTAAGCACAGTAAAATAGAATTATCAAATAATCTGCCAAATTTCCTATCGATCGGCGACGAACATCCTACTAATAAAGGCACTAGCGCGGAAAAGTCAAAGCCTGTCAAGAAGAGGAAGCGAGTTATGTCTCCAGAGGAAACTCTAGACAAATCAGTTCCGGTGGATAACGTGGCGGTTGACACTAATGCATTATAAATAAGTCAGGTTCCATTACCTGCTATAGTAACTAAACCCGCCAAATCATCGAACACTAAAGTTGGGAAAGCCAGTGTGACCCTCAGAAGATCTGTTAGAATCTACAAGGACTCGCCGTTATTCTTGGAAGGCAATGCTGTTACTCCACTTCTTCACAAAGGTAATTCATCTGGAAAGTGCCCTAACCATTCCGTTTATGGAAAAGGACACGATAAGCCTTCGGCAGTACATTGCAACAGGATAGTGATTGTAAGAGCTCCACTGCCGGAGCAAGTAGATCACATAAAAATCCATGCCCTAAACTCCCTTCGCCGGCCGAAAATCATTCAAATATCAAAGTGACAACAGCCGTCGGGAATACTACAGTAGCATTATATCGTCCTAGCGCGGACGGGACAGTAATGAGCTCTTCCATAAATCGTAAGCAAAATATTGTCATAAGGGGCGCCCCAGAGTCCACGTCCTGCATTCCGAAGGAACGGGTGACGCACGACCTAGACCTTCTTCATCAGTACGCCAGTACCAACCCGCAGGACGGGGAAATATTCACCGTTAAAAAAGCTTTCCGACTAGGCAGAGCGGACCCAAATCGTGACCTAAAAACATCCCCAAGACCCCTGAAAGTTATTTTGGAAAACGAAGACCAAGCAGCGCTTTTGTTAGAAAGTAGAACGACCTTACGCAATTCGCACAAGGAAGTGTTTTTTCAACCAGACTACGAACCGAGGGAAAGACTGAAAATGAGAGAACTGAGATCAGAATTGAAGGAGAGAATTGGCAGAGGACAGAAGAGGCTGAAGATGAAAAATGGACAAATAGTCCAGACAAAGGGGTCTTTCCTGTGGTCAGAACCCGTCAGAATGAAGGCCGGGCCTCTTCAACGAATCAGTCATTGAAGGTTATATCCGCAAATGTGCAAAGCCTTTTCAACAAACTAGACGAACTAAGAGACTTAGTTGATGAAATTAAGCCAGACATTATGGCATTCACAGAAACGTGGCTTACTGAAGATATCGCAGATTCAGAAATATCACTTAGAGGATATCAGCAATTCAGGAGAGATAGACTAAGCCGAGGAGGAGGAGTCATCATTTATGTCCCTTGCAAGCTAAGCGCTATGGCTGATGTACATAGACCGCTACGGGATGTGGAACTGCTAAGCGTTACCATATCTACTAAGAATGTCCGATCATTGACGCTTTCGGTGGTGTACCGTTCACCTAACCATACTTCTGACCATGATCTCATGCTCATATCCGAACTGTCCCAAGCTAGCGAGAAGAAAGATGTCCTTATCGTTGGGGATTTTAACGCTCCTGGAATAGAATAGAATAGAATAGGTTTATTGTAGCGCCCCTTGGGCACTGTCAGTCCCCTTTGAACTCAGGAAAAAAACCTAAAACAAACTCGTCAATTTCAACTGCACTTTGACTTCATTTGCTTCGGGTGTCTGGTTAGCCAAAAGAGCGCGAATTGAGGGTTTGTTTTAAGTTAAAAAAAACCTCAGTTCTAAGGGAAAATAATAACAAAATTTTCAAAAAATAACGATATGTACAATATAAAAATTGAAGTTTGCAGTTTGGTAGTTTTCGGGGGCATGAATAATATGTCCTTTATGGCAATTGAAGATCTTAGATATCGGCCTGACCTTGAAAGTATTTTCCTGTTGGGTAAATTTCGGTTTGCTCTAGTTGCTGGTTGTCAGTCTATCTGGCCAGCTGTAAGGGGGCGGTCGCACAGTTCCTACGTATTTTTCAGGAGGCTTACCATCGTTGTCTGGACTAAGAGCTGGAAAAGATGAATATATATCAGGAGTAAGAAGCATTCAATGGTAAGTCACAATCAAAACTGTCAAAATACTATTGAATCATGTATCATATTGTTCTTGTTAATGTGAAATTATAGGAGTAGTGGTCGACTGTTTACTATGATCTAATATAGTTCTATATATGTTTAATATGGCTTTAATACAGACATACGCACGACTAATATGCAGGGTTTTATCGAAGGGTATATTTTTATTAGCTTTATAAGGGATATTTAGTGTCATGTGACATAGCTGATGAAGACGAGAAAGGGAGGAAATAGAGGAATATCATTATCTGTTCTATGTTTATCAATGATGCTATCTTTTATAAATTTGAT